AGATAATAGTGATGGTGTTGATAATGTTGATAAACACGAAGATGATGCTGATGATAATAATGATAACGAAAAAGTCATATCATTAAAAATAATATAATAATAATTAAGCAATATTGAAATATGATATCATTAATGTAAATTATATAATATTTATTTTTGATGGTAGTAATTGAGGCATGCAGGCAGTTTATGCAATATCATAATAACATTATTTCTCATGCATGGACTTGATAGACAATAAATGAAAATAATGATGTTGTACTTTATACTATCATCACTTAGCACAAGACAAAATGTGTTTTGTTTACCCAGAGTCCTTGGCACCATTTGGAGCATCCTCCTCAAACATTTTTTCAGCTTCCCATTTAATCTGAACATCTTGTTCAATTCGCCTCAATGCAGTTACCTTTTGGGTTCCCTTTCTTTTCAGGTCTAAACCCTCCATCTTCTCTGTAAAACATAAAATATTAAAAATATTATTTTAATTGATTTTTAAAATATTATTAAGACTATCGTAGGGACGATTCTGCACAATTTTTGCTTTAGATTAGGTCGGCCTATTTGTTTTTTTAAACATTGCATTTTGCCTGCCCATGGGTATTGACTTATAGATACAAATCCGGACCATGTTGATTGATGATTCAACATATTATTTATTGTTGTTATTGTCTTCACGTATTAATTTAAAACGTTGTAGTTCGCAGACAAAAGGCGAGACTGATATGGAGCTACTTTGACTACTGTAATATGTTATGTGACATTTTCTTCCTTTCCTCACTAGTTCTAGGCCTATCGTACATCGCTATGCGGAAGTTCATCATGAGAGCACAACATCGCCTCTACCGCTACGCTAGTCGCGAGGTAAGGTAAATGGACTAGGCCTAGGTGGTAGACTAGCCGGGAATAGGCGGCCTACTCAAGCATACTTCACAAGCCTCTTAAATTCTCTGTAATTAATTACACTTAATGAAAATAGATAAAGCAAATATATGAAGTTTTTTAAATCCAATAAACTTACCGATATACGACCTTAGTTCTGGCCAAGGCACTCTATATATTACAGTTACACCTAGACATCCAGCGGTAACGACACGATACGTTGTACAGTTGATGGTTGATGATGAGGCAACACATGGAAATTGTTGATTCGCTTTTATTAACATGCACCAGAATGATGAGACATATTTTCAGAGCCCTTGTCTTATTTTAGCAATAGGACATCCAGAATTAGAATGTTTCGGCCAAATTATTACACAATTAAAACTTATTGCGGATATTTATGTACAATCACTACTATCAAAGAAGAATGAGTAGTATAAATTCACCCACGTTTTAATTATATGCTATTAGATATGTTTCATCTATCGTCCAAAGTGTTTGATAAACGTTCAGTGATTGGGTAAAAAAGTTTAGAATACGTAATTACATCCAATGATAGCTATCCTTCTAAATTATCTAGTGTTTACCAAAATGGCAGCAGATTTCAAGTGAGTAATTCATTGTGTTTTGTGTTGTAAACATTGTAAATAATATGATTTCTACCTTATAAATTACTTTTGATTGGCATTTTTATTATCTGATATATTTATTTTTATTCTAATTAGGACCGCACAGCCCAAAGAATATTACAGAAGATTTTTGGTAAGTTTCTTTTTAGGTCATTTTTTAGGCCGACCGAGGCAACAGCACACTACAGTGTAGCACACTAACAGCAGGCTTTTGTGGTGCATGAGGGATAATAGTAGGCCGACGTGTAGGCTAGCTATATACTAAGATATGCTTCCAATATTATTTTTAGGGCAAGACCTAGATATCGGGCTATATTCTTATTTTCCTGCACCTTCTGGTCCACACAGAAGTGAACAAACCAATTTATATTAATTAAAATTACTTTGTGGGGTAATCTGGTTTGTAAGGATGAACTTTTTCCAATTTTTATTTATTCCAAAGAAAGAAGACGTACGTCCAGATGGAAGATCTTTAGAAGAAATCCGACCGACCATCTTGAATGTGGGCAAGTAAAAATTATGTTAATTTTTGATACATCAATAATATAATACTGTTATATAT